ATATATATTGATAAAAGATAGAAATAATAGCTATAGAAATAAAAATATTAACAGAAACACAGTGTACTATATACGGTGTGAATAATACATAAGTCATGACAAAGATGCACTTGTACAAACGGATGCAGGGGACATGCAGTAAAAATAATCTAAACCCATATACGTGATCTGTAGAATATTAATTATTAAATACATTTTATCGATATTGATATGGAAAAAAAATCAACTTTGGATTAACCAACGTCGCACACCTACGTCGTCATCACGTCAGGTATGTAATGAAAAAAAATCGAATATTAAAACCACTTACAGACTGAATTAATAAATCACTTGTTAATCGACAAGAGAGACTTTCTGAGATGCCGTATCAGTTTCTAAACATTAAGCAAGTCCGTGACAAGCTATGTTGTTGTTACTGAAAAGGAACTCTTACGTCATAATGCCTTAACTGTCTTTAAACTGTTAAAAATGAAACTGATTTGTCGCCGTTCGGTGTACGTTTAAATAAAGATTAAAATGGTAAAACTACATCAACGGAAATGTGCGTACGAGAGTACGTCAAGACAAGATACTGTCGTTGTAGGCATGGCAGTTCAATATACACATATAAATAAATACATAATTATAAAATGAGATACTTTTCTGGGATTACAGTCATCAGTGCGTTACGATTAAAGAATGGCTAACAGTCTCTAGTATATCTGAAATCGACCCCACGTGCTCTTCACGCACCACTTACAATGAATGGGTCTATGTATTAGCTATGAGTCAACATTTTATAACAACGTCATCTCACAACAGATGCAACTTGGAAATGTCATACAATTTTAACGGAAACGCTGAGAATAGCCGTATATACGGTACTGAGATATTACAGCTGTGTTAAGAGTATTTAGAGAGTAGCCGTACATTTCTTCTCTACTTTTTAATTGTTTGTCCACCGTATTCGATGATGGTATACCTGAACTTTTAGGATGCACTCCCTGCGACTAGTCAGCCCAAGTTGGGACTGGCATGATGAGGTTAATCTTGGGCCAAAGAGTAGTTGTTGTAGAGTATGTTAGTGTATGTAGAGAGTAGCCGTATATTTCTTCTCTACTTTTTAATTGTTTGTCCACCGTATTCGATGATGGTATACCTGAACTTTTAGGATGCACTCCCTGCGACTAGTTAGTCCAAGTTGGGACTGGCATGATGAGGTTAATCTTGGGCCAAAGAGTAGTTGTTGTAGAGTATGTAGCATTTTTTTCTAGTTTGACCTTTTGTGTCGTTTCAATGATTATACGTGTTATCCACAATTAAAGTGCTGACCGATATCCAGACTAGCAGCCCGAATTCAGTGAACTTCGAACTCTACCTAGTCATTCCTGCTCCGTGTATCTATCTTCTCTGTGTATGCTGGAAATGTTGTCTCTCGCCATTTTATCCTCGTGATCTTGTGAACGCAATTCCAGTGAAAACGATCCACCTGTTTTTCGTGATTTATATAAGTGTTCCAACTGTCATATGTAGAAAGTACTGAAACTACAATTAGCCTAATAATCTATATAAGTGCCCCAACTTTCACCGAAGCTTCAATTAGCCCAATAATCTATATAAGTGCCCCAACTTTCACCGAAGCTTCAATTAGCCCAATAATCTATATAAGTGCCCCAACTTTCACCGAAGCTTCAATTAGCCCAATGATCTATATAAGTGATCCGACTTTCACTGTAGCTACAATTAGCCCAATGACTCCGTCTCAAGTTGAATCAATTTTTTGCCTCACAATGCGTTTCTTAGAGGCCTTAATGCTGTACTGATCTTTGATATTCTCTAGATTACTTCCTCAAGAAGGTGAATCTGTCTACTACAGCTAGTGGTTTGTTTTGAATTTCGCGCAAAGCTACACGTGGGCTATCTGCACTAACCGTCATTAATTTAGCAGTGAAATACTAGAGGGAAGGCAGCTAGTCATCACCACCAACTCTTGGGCTACTCTTTTACCAACGAATAGTGGGATTGACCGTCACATAATAACGAACAGCTAGTGATGTGCCATCAGTGATGATGCTTGAATGAGAGTAGCCTTGCTGATTACCAGTTCACATCTGAGGGCATGCTAAAGAGAAACGGTTCATATTCAACTGTATATCTTCTGCAAAAGGAAGATCCCTAATACGTTTTTCAATTAGCTTTCAGTCGACACACATTTGTCGTGTTTTAAACTGAATGACCACTCCAGCATTGGAATTGTTAAAGACATCCAGCAGCACTGCTGTACACAAAAATCGACAACAAGCTTCACGGAACCACAGCCGTTACACACAAAGAAAACATTTGACATCTTCCCATCTGTCATCACGAACCTATCGCATGCGATGTCCGACGAGCCTTCACTGCTACTAAATCAAGAAAACAGCCTATGTTTATGCAAACTAAAATGTTCTACGTCAAGCAGTATCAGGGGTGAAATTCTCAAAAAACAAAGTAGAGGTGCCCAACTGGATGAAGTGGACCTGTTTTTGAAAACGAAAATCTACGTGTATACATCAAAAACGACAAAGCAGCTTAAATAATTTCCGGTACTACTACCGCATTAAAAATAAGTTCCGGCACTCAATACCAACGAGTACCGACATATTATCACTCCTGAGCTGTATAATATATTCCGTTCTTTTTCACACTACCATGTAAATAAAACAGGAGAAAAAATTATTTCTTTTAGCTTACTCTCTGATGTGCAATGCCTTAGGTCACCCGATTGTAGAGTATATAGGCTCTTTTTTTCCTCTTTCATGATTCACGAATTTGGCTGAACGGTACATGAGCTAAACGACAAGGTCAGAGACCCAAGCAAGTTTCAAGATGCCCCTGTTAGGCATAATTCCGGCAATCACAGCGCACGTGAAATTATTCAGCGAAATGCAACCCACCGACTTCTGGTGAACGTTACCGACTGCATCTTTTAATCAAAATAATATTAAATACCTAATTCATTATCACAGGTTACTGAAATATTTCGCCAGGTATCCTTTGTGAAACTTGTTTGAAAACATCACATTGAAGCATGTTAAATACATTGTATCACAATAATAATATACAGAAAGAACAAGTTTGGTCTTCATCGTTATGGTTATAATTTACATCATTAGAGTTTTGTTATAGCGTCTGTATCTCAGTACCGCATATACGGCTACTCTCTACATACGCTAACACAACTACAGTATCTCAACACCGTGTATACAGCTACACTACATACTCTAACACAACTATAGTATATCAACACCGTGTATACAGCTACACTACATACTCTAACACAACTAAAGTATATCAACACCGTGTATACAGCTACATACTCTAACACAACTATAGTATCACAACACCGTGTATCCGACTACTCTCTACATACGCTAACACAACTATAGTATCTCAACACCGTGTATCCGACTACTCTCTACATACGCTAACACAACTATAGTATCTTAACGCCGTGTATACAGCTACACTACATACTCTAACACAACTATAGTATATCAACACCGTGTATACAGCTACACTACATACACTAACACAACTATAGTATCACAACACCGTGTATCCGACTACTCTCTACATACACTAACACAACTATAGTATATCAACACCGTGTATACAGCTACACTACATACTCTAACACAACTATAGTATCTCAACACCGTGTATCCGACTACTCCCTACATACGCTAACACAACTATAGTATCTCAACACCGTGTATCCGACTACTCTCTACATACGCTAACACAACTATAGTACCTTCAACTCTAACAAAAAATATAAATCAGCCTTAAAAGTTTAAATATTTTGCCACACGGAGGAAGCACTGTCTCAGAGGCCACAACTAACAACAACAACAACAAAAAATAAAAAAATATGTAAATATATGACAGTGTCACAGTTTTCCTTCCCTCTATACTAATTTTTAAAATAATTTGTAGAAAATGGCAGAGAAAGCAGTATTAGACAAATTGACGTAATAAACGAACGGTACAGACATCGAGATGCTTCCGATAGTTCATCACTGACGCTCTATTAATATAATAGTCACCATAAAACTACCAATAAAAAAAGCTTGCGGCAGTAACCACGTTTTTATCATTATATAAAATCACTATGCTGTAAGGTTATTTGAAAAATGGACCTCTTGCAGGAAATGACGGGAATAAACTGACAAAATATATATTTATTTTAGCCCTTAAACTGCCCCTAACAATAAACTAACACATGACTATGGGAGCGTTTGCAGCTTCATAAAATGTTACGGAGTCTTGAACACACTGCTCCCATAAACGTGGGTATTGATATTAGGCACCATCGATC